CTAGAAAGGTCTTCCTTTGAAATCGATAGCTCTCCAATGTTGACATATTCAGCAAATGCAATAACGTATACACCACAATCACTGCAAAATAGAATTAGGGGAAAGAGATTTAGCATTCATCGATTGAATAAAATCTGTTAAATAAATTGAAGAAAAAAACAACTTTTTCATACAGTGAACCCTCTTTTTGTTGGGGTATCTCACCGACCAACCACTGAATGTCAAGAGGGTCAGTAACACCTTTTTCAATGTATGCCTTTGTGTTCTTGTAGTTTATGTCTGGGTGCTTGCCATAGAATCTAGTGGATGACAAGTATAGGGGAGTCATTATTGCAAATTTGGTGACAACAGATTCAACAATGATGTGACTGTGTAAAGAGACCATAGAATCATAAACATATAGAGCCCTTTCGGGAATGCCAAAAACAACCAACAACCAATGAAATTTTTCCATAATATTTATGGGCATAATCACAAAATCAACTTGATCCCATGCAATATTTGCAAGTAGCCTGTACCCCAATATGTATTCTGCTATGACGTCCTGGGATTTGACAACAACTAGCTTCTTATCGTCAGGAGCATTAATGCATTTTTCATAAATTTGTTCAATTCTAATCTTGAAAATACAGTCAATAGTTGTAAAATTAGTTTTGTTCACAGGACCATACTTTCCTCTTTTCCACGAATAGTATAAAATAACATCAATGTGTTGCAAAGGAAAAAAAGACAGAGTTCATTATTTGTTAATGCTTAAAACAAATGAACTATAATATTTAAATAGAAAAACCACAATATCATCCAATCATCTCATTCTGCCAGGGTATGTGCTTACAGTGTTATGTGGACTTGTCCGAGATGTGCTAAAATGTAAAACTACTCTTTTTTATCAACTTTCTTCACTCCAAGATTATACCACGACTTTAGCTGGTTATATTTTATAGAATTAGTCTCTTTCCTCCTATTTAAACACATAGCAATTACAATTAATATGTAGATTGAAGTGGATATCAAAAAAGGGAATGCACTCAGAAACATGAACAAATTGTATAAACTAACCTCCTTGAAGATTTATCGGTACCAAGGTATAACCAGTTGTTGAATTCATCCAACAACTCAGGATCAACATTTTAACCTATAATCCCAGTAAACGGATGCTTGATTTGAAAAATTGGAGGCCCAACAGAAGTGTTGCCACCAGAATTGAAAATAGGGAGAAAGAGTGATCGGGCATGGTTTCCCGGCTGCCTTGTTCTTCCTTGATGCACAGGGGTTGTTTCATCTTGGTTAAGCTCGCCGAACTTAACAATCTGGGAGAAGTTCTCTGGCAACTCAAAATCATCAAGTGTTACTTCCCTTTTATCACATCTAGATTCGTCTGAATCACCTACATTAACGTACTCGGCTGGTTCACCTCTTTCTTCACAACAATTATCTCTTTCTTTTATAACATTCTCATCTTCAACGGGAGATTGAATTTTTTCCCTTCTCCTCATTCTTCTATGTTTCTTCTTCACGACAATCATCTTCTTCCTTTTTAACATTCTCTTCTTCAATGGGAGATTGAATTTTTTTACCCTTCTCCTCATTCTTCTGTTCTCCTTGAATGATTATTGTGTCTTCATGTATTGTAGAGTCTGCAGGCGTAGCTTCCTTCACTGTTATAGTAAGTATGTTTAACTTAATCATTTTGTAGGAAATTTTTACTAAACATTAACATTTCAGAATCCAATATCTACATTAAATGTAGTAATTTTGTTGAAATGATATTATGCATATGATAACAACTAAGTTTATAATGTTGATGCGATGATAACATGTACTAACTCAAACCTACATTCTTTTCATCAATTGCCGCTTCAAAATGAGAATCTAAAGCAACACGTACAGGAGCACTCTCATTAATTTTCATGTCATTCACATGTCCCGTATCTAAGAAACCCATTTGAATTATAATGCACATTAGTTGATATATTTTTAGGTAATACATAGGTACATTGTAGACATCTACATAGATATGTAAATCTGTGTAGATATACTGTAGGCATAACGTAGATATGTCTACACATATTGTAGATATATTGTATATAATGTAGATATGTTGTACATACTTTTTTTTACTGCTGCTGGCATGTGCTGGTATATCACTACTGCACGGAAAATATTGATTAATCTTTTTTTTTTGTTTGCTCAGTAATTTTTGTAGAACTCCCAGCAAACTGCAGGCTTTAAATTTGTTAGGATATATATATTATGGACGATAATATAAACTTAGAGGTGATATAAATTGTTCTGTTAAATGAATAAATTTCAAATATTACCGTGGCATCAATGTTATCCTTTTGACTGTTTATCGCCTGCAAAACAGCCTTGATTGAGTCATTGAGTAGTAGTCGAAAGCTACCTAGTTCTTCAAAAATATCTGTCTTGAAAGATCCAAGATCTAAAGCAACCTACATATTAAAATATAAAGAGTTAACGAAAATATTGACTTAACATACAGTAAAGAAACATCCAAGATTCTATATATATATATTACCTTGTCAACATCTTTTCTTAATTTTTTAATTTCTGTTAGAATATCTATCTTGTCCTCTATTCCAATTGAGTTTGTGTGTCATGATGGAGATGCATCATCTTTCGGAGCCTCGGACTTGGTTTCAACTTCGTCAAGTATTATTCAACTTTATCAGCCAAAAACATTCTAGAAAACTCTTCGGGTGCTTCAACTATATTGGTGAACTAAGTGAAAAAAGGAAATTAGTTTGACTTAGACATAATATGTAGAAAAGATGTAGATAAATTGTATAAAATGGTCTGCTCATAAGTAAAAATCATTTACCTTGATCCATGCTGGATTGATCATTCCATCTTTAATTGCAGATAACCATATCTTATCCTTATTAGCTGACCGGATAAGTATGCGAGGGATAGAATTGGCAACCCTTGTAGCTATATCAGTGTTGACGGTAGAGCAATATTCATACAACCATATTTGCATAGCTAGTACACATCCTCAAATGAGATAAGAATGAACAGAAGGATTGAGCTTGTGCCTAAAAGACTGAAGCAACTGTTTGTAAGAATCAATACCCCATGAGTAGTTCGTATACTGTCCCGAGTTCACCAAATAACACCTAAAATGGTCTACCAACACTACATTGTCTCTGTCTGAAGGACAGAGGAAGAATTCTATGAGATATAGAATACACAACTTGACTGCATCATCATAGTTCAACCAACTTTTGGTGGTTACAATTTGTTTTAAGTATGACTTCTCAACTTTTCCCATGTTTGGAAAATAGCTTCTCATTATTTTACTATCATATGTAGGTGTGTAACCAAAATTTCTCACTTCCGTAAAACATTTTAGTCCAGTTATCAACGCAAACTCTCGCAAACCAAAATTCAACCTCTGACCCTTTATTTTAGCTGAAAAATAGTCAGAACCAGATGCATTCAATTCATACTTCATCAGAAGATGAATTGTTTGATTTTGCATGCATATTCTGGGCAATGAAAGCAAATAACCAAAACATGTCTTCTTGAAAAGCTTCAAACCATTTGCAGACAATAAATCCTTGATTTGGCCAGGAATACTGGGGTCGGATAATGTTTGAAACCTAACGACCCCATAATCAACATTATGAGGTGCAAAAAAAGGTCTATTTTGTAGCAAAAGGAAAAATTCCTTATTCAAACAAGGCTCAAACCTAAAAAACAAATATCTACATTTTTAATACAATATTCCTATATAACTGCATAACTAAGTCAAAAACAGATAACAACATAACTACACTATTATTACAAAATTTCTACAATCTTTAAACAATATAAAAAAAAGGTAAACATTTATATAAAAATATATTTACAATCATGAATTATAAATCTACAACAAATCTACGTAATGTAGACAAAATTTCTACAAACTACAAAATCAAACATTATATAGTTTCATAAGAATGAGAACAATTTTTTTTAGCTTTTACCAAAATTTATTTTTGAAACTAATAAATTCGTACCTTCATCACTAACTGTTGGGGAAAAATTCTAGTAGATTTTTGAACTTTCTTCTTTTTTGAAGCTTTTACATTAGGAGACACTCTAACTTTTTTTGCAACTTTAATGCCAACTTTTTCTTCGACGAAATCATCATCGAAATCAATCTCTTTGCCTTTCCTTTTCGCAGATTTGACAGGTATGGAAGATTCACCAGCATCAATATCGTGCTTTTGCTTTGTTCGAGCTTCTGTCCTAGCTTCACGGGAGGAAAGGTGAGCTGATTTTGAAGCCTTTTGGGGTGAATTTGCTGAGAAAACACCCAAATCAAATGAAGAAATATCTTCTCCTTTGTCTTTTGTAGGGCTGCTCTTTGAAGATATCTTCTTCTTCATTGAAAATCAAGGTAATGAGATATGTTAACGGAGGTAGGGATTTTGAATAAGAGTAAGAATTTTATTTGGTTTTGTGAAGAAGAGATGAAAAATGGGTTAATGGAGTATTTTGAGAATTTTGAAGCGAAAATCGTGGGTGAAGATATGTGGGTAGGGGAGTGGGGATGTGGAGAGATAAACGTGGGGGAGTGAGAATATACGGTACAATTATTTTAGGACAGTAATTAATACCATTAAATCTCTTAAAATGTACATTTTTTGTAATTGGGCATATAAAATATAATTATAATAAAACTTGAGTAAGGAAGATAATATAGTCTCATATAGTGTATAGAAATGTAAAAATTCCCTTATCAATTGCTAAATGTGATTTTTAAGTCGGTCTTGCTAGATGCGACTTATAAATCGCATTTGAGCTAATAAAGATTCTGCAACTTCGTATTATTTTTTGTGTAAAATAATGAAAAACGAAAACACAATTAAATGAATACTAAAATAAATCGAATCGACACCGTTCAATTATTATTGTACACACGTGGCTTACATCTAATAGCGTACTAGGAAGTACTGAAAATAAAAAGCCATTTCACCACTCACACTTCTCACACACTCTGTTGATTGCTGCTGTAGAATCAAAAAGAGATGGGTAGAAAATCGTCCTTACCGAAGGGTAAAGATAAAGTCATCGACGGCAACGTCTCGTCGGCCGGAAAAAGAAAGCGCGACGGTTACGATGAGGATAAAACCGGTGACCGGAAAAGGAAGGGTGTACTTCAGTTCGTTGACGACGCTGCTTACGAGGTCGACGACGACTTCGATTTCACCGACGACTCCGATTTCTTCGACGAAGGTATAATGCGTTACAGCTGTCACTGAATTAATTTCTTTTTTATTTTGTTTTAGCTGAAAGCTACTGAGAAAATTAGGGATTTTTGGTATACTCGGTTTGGTTAATTAGCTATAATGTTCTGCATTATCGTAGATTTTTTGGCTACCTTTGTATGTTTAAACTTTAAATTTAGGAAATTGACTGAGAAATTAGGGATTTTTTGGTAAATTTGGTTTGTTTAATAGGCTATATTGGCCTGCATTGTCGTAGATTTTATGATTACTTATTTGCATTTTTGAGTTTTTTTTTAATAAATAGACAGCATTTACTTAATTCCTTTTGTTTAGAAAAATGAGTTGGAATTAGGGATTTTTGGTCAATTTGTTTGTGTAATAGCCTATGCCGGTATACATTTTTTGGAGATTTGTTCTTTTATTTCTTTGCTCTGCATGGTTGAGGTTTATATACACTTTTTTAAAGAACTGAGGTTTTTGAAGCTAAAAAATCGTTCTAAAATTGCAGCTATATTGGTGTAATATTTTCTGTTCCGTCTGTGTGAGCTTGCTCGCATTGGTGGTCCCGAGCCCGGAATAAAGGAGGAGGGCTTTGGTAGGCTGACAGCTATAATGAGGATTCATATAGTCGACTCCAACTTGTTTGGGTCTGAGGCATAGTAGTCCTTGGTTATTTTTCTTTGGTTTTCCAATTGGCTTAGTGTAGGAGGTTTTTTGTTTAAAACTTTTTGGTTTTGTTTACCTAATGGCAAGTGAACAAACTTTGCTGCACCTCAATAGAATACCTTTACCAATTAAAAGAAGAAGAAGAAGAAGAAGAAGAAAAACAAGAAAAAGAAAAAGAAGCAAGTGAACAAAGAAAGAAAAAAAAACATATGTAGGGTTTCATTATCCAAACTTAGGAAGTTATTTGTTTTGACGGGATTCACTTGTCTATTGTAAATTTGGGTTTTAAAAACTGAAGTTAAGCAAGACCATAGTCTACTATGATTCTGGTTTTGTTTTCCATTTTAATTTGCGTTTTTGATTGTAAGTCATTTTATGTTTCTCAGTTTCTGGTATATAGATGGTATGCGACATACCGGGTAAAACTATGCCTGGACGAATCTACGTATTTCTTACATTCCTTCAAAATGCTTGGTCTAAGGCATGGTGGATTAGCTGATTTCCTTTGATTGAACTCTTCTGTAAATATTACATGTATAGCAGGGGAATAGGATTGTGTTTTAAACAACAGCTCCTCAGTACACTTCTACGTTCATATTGTTTTCACCCTTCCATTCTAAGAGAAATTCTGAACTTCTTTATCTGCATTTTCTCGTGAGAATAGCTTGCTGCTAGCTTTATTTTTTTGCAATTTTCTCTGTGTACGTGCTTCTTGTTTGTCGCCTCTCTAAACTCATTGTCCATTTAGAATTATACGAAGGTCTATGCTGCCAATACTTTTTACTTTTTATCATTAGCTCCGCAAAAGCATGTCCACTTCAACTCTACTTGATCAAAAAGAAATAAATAACATCTACTTGAATCTTTTTGGTAAATAATTTTTATTTATTACCAAGTGACTATTTGTACAAAAAACTTCAAAAGAAAAAACTGGAAGTTGGATCACTGTCTGGATCACTGTCCCAACTTTCAGCTGCAGAACCTCATAACTGGTAAACAACTGAAGCGAAGAATACAACTTTTCTAAGGACAAAAGTCCAAATATTCCTTTCTTCTTACTAATTTGATCTTTAGACTTGCCCTGCAGAAACATTTACTTGAATTTTGGTATCACAATAACAGCATTGCCTAAAGTTGCAAATGAAGGAATTATAAGCCAACCATCTACTTAAACAAACTACAAGAAGTTTATCTTATCAAAAGAAAACCAACTACAAGCAGTTTAATCCTTATAAATAGAAAATAAAAATATATTTAGCTCAGGTGCGTTGGTTATTTTTTTGGTAGGTACACTATGCCAGAGTTATTTTGAATTTGGTTTATCTAATCATTGTTGTGCTCCTGCTATACAGATTTTCTTGAGGAATTTAGAAGTAATGTTGAAATCAAGAATGAGCCTGTGAGAACACCCCAACCCCCGGTGATCAAAGAGGAGGAATTGGATGGAGAAGAGCTGGAGAAGATGTTAAGGGAGCGTTACAGGCCAGGTTCTAGCTTTGTTACCTATGCAGAAGATAGTGATGAGAAGAAGAGACTATTTGAGCAGGACACACTTGTGCCTTCTCTCAAGGATCCAACTATATGGAAAGTTAAATGCACGGTACTCTAATCGACGGCAAATTGAAAAGTCACTGATGCATATATATCAGATTGTTGTCATTTAATTCTTTTTCACTGTCTTTCTAGTTATATGGCTTATGTTTTCTTTTTGTATTTGCTTTGTGCTATAGGTTGGAAGAGAAAGGCACTCAACTTTCTGTCTTATGCAGAAGTACATAGACTTGCTTGCTCTAGGAACAAAGCTGCAGATAATTTCCGCTTTTTCACTTGATCATGTAAAGGGATATATTTATATTGAGGCTGACAAACAATCTGATGTCTACGAGGTACTACTTCCTTTTTTTATTTTATTTTATCATGGCATTCTTGTGTCTTGAATTGGCCTTGGTGCTTCTGTGGAAGTCTGAGCATTCGTTAGTGACGTTCTTTTCTTGATGAAAGCATTCTTTAATGACATTTTACACTCTCTAAGCCGAGCTCCTTGGTATAGGCGTGTAAAGGCCTTTGTAGTATATATTCAAGTAGAGTGGCACCTGTTCCAAAGAATGAAGTTTCTCATTTGATTGCTGTGCGGAGCAAGTCTTCTGGGATTTCTGAGGGTATGTGGGCACGTGTCAAAAGTGGAATATACAAGGGCGATCTGGCGCAGGTACTTTTTATTCCATCAGCTAGCTGCTATTTAAATCTCTCTTATCATACATGTAAATGCAATATGAATTTTCTGCTGGTTAATGCTGCTTACTAACCTCTCTTTATTTGTCTGAGAAATTAAACAACAATAACAAAGCACCTTCTTTTTAGAGCTTGCTAACTGTTTCATCATGGTCATGTAGGTTGTGGCAGTGAATGATTCACGGAAGAAAGTGACTGTGAAGCTGATTCCAAGAATAGACTTACAAGCCATTGCCGACAAATTTGTAACAATTTATACTCGATTTCATAAATGTTTTATGTTTTAGTTAATGTGAATTACTCAGATATGAAGCATAACACCGTACTCCCGGCTTCTTCACCTCCCCATCATGAAAAAGAAAAAAAAGAAAGAACAGAAAGCTGTGTTAGGGAGGGAGGGAGGGACAATGCTATTTTAACCTCAAATTCCTTAGAGTAATGCACATTTGTTTGGAGTTGTTAGAGCCCATTTGGGTTGGCTTAAAAAAAGTGGCTTTTCAGCATATTAAATAGCTTTTAAGCCAAAAAGCAAAAAGTTGGGGTTGTGCAGCTTATTGCTTTTGGCTATTTTTAAGCAGTTTTTAACTTATTTTAAGCACTTTATAGCTTTGCTGATTTGATTAAAAGCTAAAAAGTGCTTAAAAGCTGATTTGATCAGCTTAAAAGCCAATCCAAACGTCCTGTGCATTCGTACTTATTGGAGGTTGTGATTTGAGTATTTCCTGCACTGCACGTCGTAGGTCCTTTTAGTTTTTTTGTATGGTATTACAATTTTAGACTGAAGCACTGTACTTCCTCTTCTCTTTGTTTTGAATGTTTGCTCCTATGCTCTATTGGGACTTCTGCTTGATATTGACTAAGCACTTGAAGTATTTAGCTAATTATGCACTTAGCAATCCAGGTTTAACATCTCATTAATATATTTTCATTTTTAATTTAGGCTTATATATCTTCTGCAGTCAGCTGCAGTAATGCTGGTTATCATCTTCGCCAATTAAAAAAATTGCTGCTTATCATCCTCAATACAATTATAATTATGACTAGTCTTCTTAAAATACATTTTTTCAGAGGCTATAAATTTCCTCTTTGCAAGAGTTCAACCTCTTATCTTAGAATGGTTAACGAGAGAATGCAAAAATGCAGGGATATTANTAGGGTTGGTACCCCCGTCATTCAGGGAATTGTTATAAGTTCATCTTCACGGTTTATATATATTTTTTTTGGGGGGGCTTCAATTCCTAATGTTTAGTCACGGTTTAAGTTGATCCTAAAACAACTCTATAATTAAGTATTTATAGACTTCTAGTGATACGTACATTCATTACATGACCATTCGCATGTTGATGTTTCCATACCTAGTCATTTTTTACTTTCAACTTGCTCAGATAGCTGAGTTTTTAAAATGTTTTATAGGGTGGAGGAGTTGCTGCAAAGAAGGGAGTTATCGCAGCACCAAGACTAATTAGCTCTACAGAGCTTGAGTAATATGCATTCTCCATTTGTTACGATTAATATAATAGGTTGCAAGTACGTGACAATTTTTCCTTAATTAAACTGCAGAGACTTTCGGCCCCTCATACAATACCGGAAGGATCGGGATACAAACCTAATGTTTGAAATTCTCGACGGAAAGATGCTGAAGGATGGTTATTTATACAAAAAAGTGGGCACTGATTCATTGAGCTATTGGGGTGTAATGCCTACTGAAGCTGAACTCCTGAAGTTTGAACCTTCCAAAAGTGATGGACCCCAGGATGTAGAGTGGCTTACCCAGTTATACGGTGACCGGAAGAAAAAGAGAATCATAAATGATTTCAAGGTTGGTCAGAAAGGAGGTGAGAAAGGAGAGGGTTCTTCAAGCTCTAGCATGGAAAACAATTTTGAAGTAGATGATCTTGTATTTTTTGGGTAGGTTTGTCTCTTACTGTTTATCAATTTGGAATCTGCACCCTGTACTCTGTCATTTTTGTTTAATCTTTTTTCTATGCTATTACAGTAGGAATGATTTTGGCATTATTATTGGCAAGGAGAAAGATGATAGCTTTAAGGTATATGCAAGTCTATTAGCTTTATTTTTCTTTGGGTGAATGATGTCTTATTTAAAGCGATTATTTTTCAGATCATGAAAGATGGTTCAGAGAGACCTGTGGTAGTGAGCATTCAACTGCGTGAGTTGAAGCGTGCATCTTTTGATAGGAAGCTATTCACCGTGAAAGATCAGCTAACCAATACCATCTCAGTTGGTGATATGGTTAGAGTTTTGGATGGTCCCTTGAAGGTTTGACTGTTATTCATCTTTTATTTTTTCTTTGTTTGATCATGATAGTATCCGCGTCAGCTTGTACGTACCTTGACTAATCCACCGATGACTTGCTATTTCCTTCCACTGCCCATCAAAGGTTAGGTAGATATGAATAATTCACTAGTGTTTCTGCTGGCATTTGAAACCTTGGTTCCCAAGGTTTTTACTCCAGCTGTTTGACCGCTAGGTCACCCCTTGGAACGTTTGACTGTTATTCATGGAAGCAGTAACATCTTTTTATCTGTTAATTAGTCTTCTGAAATGATGTAATGTAGGGTTAATAAATGCAGGATAGACAAGGAATTGTTAAGCAGATCTATAAAGGAGTCGTCTTTCTATATGACCAAAGTGAGCAGGATAATAGTGGTTATCTCTGTGTCAAAGGTCAGATGTGTGAAAAAATTACACGCAGTGATGGTATATCGAATGAGAAGGTTTGTACATTTTGGGGCATATTAGAACTAATCGTATTCTTATGATACCCATATTTGTTCCGCTAATATTTTTGTGCTTATTCTATTTAATCAGGGTAGTGAGCCTGGTCCCTCAGGTTTTGCAGATTTCTCATCATCCCCTAAATCCCCTCTTTCGCCTGAGAAATCTTGGAGAGCGAAGGATGATAACTGCAGCTGTATGTTTTTTATTAATCTGCTCTTAATTCCCCTCTTTCTATTTGACGTCTCGAATCAAGGCACTGCTCCCAATTCAAATATTTATTCCTTTAGCTTCTGGTTCTTTTTCCTCAAACAGTCAAGCGCGATGATAAAGATGGAATGTTTTCTGTTGGTCAGTCTCTAAGAATCCGAGTGGGGCCTTTGAAGGGATATCTTTGTCGTGTAGTAGCCATTCGACGTTCTGATGTTACAGTAAAGCTTGATTCCCGGCAAAAAATTCTTACAGGTTTGTACATTTCCTTGCATCGTCTTTTAATGTTATATGGGAAATTGTCACTAAACAATCTGTCATTGTAGTTAAATCTGAACACCTGGCGGAAGTTCATGGAAAGAGTTCTGTCGCGTCTCTTGGGTACAATTTCTTTGCCTGAATAAATAGAAGGAGAATCGTTCAATTACTTTTTTTTCACTTTGATTTCTTTTAATTTTCTCTTTACTTTCAACAATAGGGTCGATGCTGATTCTGCAAAACCTTTTGACCTGCTTGGAACACAGGATGGTTCTCAAGGTAGGAAGTATTTTGCTCCTTCTCTTGGATGAGTAAAAGTAATTTTATTCCAGAGTAACAACACAAAATAGGTGCAGCTACATACAAAACAAAAGCTCTAGTGACTGTGGAATTCAAGTAAAGAGTTGACATCATACATATGCCATCTTTCACCAAAAGCGAAAAGATATAATCATGAGTTTCTAAGTTTATGTATACAGTTAACTAAGCCTTCAAAGCATCTTCTGTTCCCTTCCACCCAACTGGTCTAAAATGCATGCACGGATGGTCATTTATGTCTTCCACTTCTCTTGCAATCTTCTTCCATTTCTGCAACATAGTAGTTCCTCGACTGTCTTTGGCATTGCCCTCTTTTGATTGTATAAGCTGAGAAACATGCACCACAACTTTCTGGCCGCATGGCAGTGTATAAAGAGGTGATTCACTTCTTCCTCATTTTCTCACACGTGGAGCTTCTGCTGCACAACACCATTCCGGTCCTTTGTAATTTTGATTCTGTCAAACATGCTCATGTGCAGTTATCCAACAAAAATTGCCACCTTAACTGATGCTTTGCTCTTCCAGATTATTTACCAAGGCCACTGCATAACAGTATTCTGCCTGTTGCACAAATTTCTATATCCAGACTTGACGGTGTATTTCGATCCCTTTGATATTCTCATTACTCATTTCACTGCATCTTCTTCCTCTAGAGATATTCTGGCCCCTTCTATTTTCCCAGCAGATTGGTGAATTTCCCTATTCCCAATCTTCACAGTTTCTCCTAAAAGATAATTCCCATCCTCCTTGTGATGTTGTGCCGCTGTTGCTTTAGTATTTACTGCCAAATTATATTGGGGGATATCTTCTGCCAAATTTTTATCCTCATGCCATTACCCATTGTGAAGTGTCTGTTTGTTTTTAATAATCATCTCAGATGTTTCAAATGCGCTTCCACAAGCCCACTCCATGAGCCTTGTCCTTCTACATGTTTCCCTATGTGAAATTTATTACTTACTGCTGTGGAACTTACCCTTCTACATGGATGTATCTGATTGCAGAGCCTTCTTTTGTTTTTTTAATATGTATTTTTGCGTTTTAGTTTTCGTTTTATATTGGTTGTCTCTCTTGTTATTTAATGTCAATTTTTCTGTAGATCCGTACTTCTCCTTTCATAAGTATAGAGTCTGTACTTTTATCCTTTTTCGTTCTTCACTTCGTTGGAACTACTCTTCTTTAAAAGGCAGTACTATCCACAGCACAATTAATTGATTAATGTCGAGTAGTGCAGTTGATGAGATTCAGCCTAACTAACAAATTTATCAAGGTTTAAGGTTGTGACTTATCGTTCTACTTCTTTTATCTTTTTGTTAGATTGGATGGTTCAGGGGGCCACAGAAACTGAGGGTAACACCGAGAATGCAGGAGCATCATCCTCTGCTGAAAGGTTAAAAATCATTGCTAATATTATTGTTCGTTTTCCTGTTCTTACATCTTGAAGTAGTATCTATGTAGAAAGGTATTTCTATTTCTTGCTTTTTTAAAAGTTGATTCATGCACCTGTTAATTACTGTACGGCAAAGTGTCTAAATATGGGGATGCTTGCATCTGCTTTCCATACTTAAAAAGTTAAAACAAAAAAAAGGAGCCAAAATAATGCCTATCTAAAGTGTTAAATTGTCTACTTATTTTCTTGGTATAGTAAAAGAGTTATCAAGAAAAGATCTAGTTCAAAACTTAAAAATCGTTGCTAATATTTACTGCTTTGTTTTCCTGGAAGGTTCGAAGTTGCTACTAGTATTTACCTTTTGTTTTCCTGTTCATACGTCTCTAAGTAGTATCTATGTAGAATGGTATATCCATTTCTTGCTTCTGTAGATGTTGATTCATGCATCTGTTATTTCATCTCTAAGATTGAAATGTGTGCATCTGCGTTCCATACTTGTATAAAAGAAAGAAGCTAAAATCATGTGTGTTATTTGGGAAGGGATTAGTTGCCGCTTATTTTTCTTGTTATGCTAAAAGTATTGTTATGAAGAGTTTAATTCAAATCTTCACTAGTAAATCTTCCCTTATCAAAAAAAAAAAAAA